TTATATTTTACCTAAAGATGGGCGCTGGCGTGGCAATATTGTGCAACTTTTTACCGATTCCTACCAAGCTTTTCTGTACCATGTTGGATGTAAAATTTAACCGTGATATGAGGAGTGGGTGTGGTTATCATCCGATTTCATCTAATTTAGGACTATATCACGAAGTGCTAGCAAGACTTGTCCGCGGCATGTTTGGTTGATTTAGCTTTAGGGGTTTGTGAGCTATATATGTATACTAAACATATTTGCGGTCGGGGTCACGTCAAAGTTTTTAAATATTTTAAAATACAGGTCGCACTTCTGTACATTATACAAAATTATAGTTTTTTACAGTTTACAGTGTTACAAACAAAACTTGCAACATTTCAGAAAACCCAATGACTATTACTAAACTCTTTAAGATTTTAAACTTCACTCTTTAAAAATTTCCTCATTAATTGAGACAGTGAATGGATTTTTTTCATTTGAGGATTTTTTCAGAAGCGTTTGGGTACCATTTCCAGTTTTTGGGCTAGCGTGGGATCGCCTCTGAATTTTCGTGTTGTTGACCATATTGTTTACTCTTCATTATTACTTTGTGGTCATTTTGGTATCAAGTAAGTAAGTAATGAAATATTTACATGGTCCGAGGTTGTTGATTCTCTTTCGGGTGAATACCAATTAGTGAAACACACTATTTAATATTTGTTTTTCTAATCTCGAACACTAACAATACTTTGAGCTCACGTACTTCGCGCATACATGTAAAATTTGTTTAAATAGTAATCGGTACTTTAACGTAATATAAACTGGAACATAACCATAGATATGCAACGAATGTTTAAATCATTGTTGGTATGACGCGTAATAATTCATATACACTTAGCTTATCAATAGTGCGCGATTAGTCAACAATGCTGGGGTACTAAAAATCCCTGAATTATCAGTTCATATTTGTCAGAAGAAGTAATAACCAATAAAAGTTTTGATTTAAAAGTAATACAATAGAAGCGCGAATTTAACATGAAAATTTATGTTAAGTTAATCAATTATACTAATCACTTGCAGCAGATAACATAAAGGTTTTCGACTTACGAATTTGATAAAGATTTCATTATTTTTTTGATTGTTCCGCGTAATAAAAAGCTAGTTCCAATAAAGCAGTTGGCATATACTATAGAATTAAAAACTTTAAAAAAATAAGTAAGATTAGAAGGGGATAATAAATATTAAGGTTGAAAATAAGTCTGAAAGGAGTAGCCACCGGCTTAAAAATTACGATCAAACAAAATTTTATGTATGTATGTCTGTCCGTCTGACCGCCTTAGCTGTAACTTGAGTAAAAATGAAGATATTTTGATAAAAAGTGGTATGCATGTTCCTTGGTAGCATAAAAAGTTCGGTATTGTAGATGGCCGTAATCGGACCACTGCCACGCCCACAAATATTTATTAATCACAAACTTATAGATTGCCATAACTAATCCGTTAATTAATATATAAAACCGTAATTTAGTACCACGAGTCCCATTAATAAGGGGTACCTTTTCCAGTTTTTGGAAATGTTCTAATTAAAAAGTGGGCATGGTCGCGCTCTTTAACTTGTTTAATGTATATATCTCCCAAAATATTCAAGCTATATCACCCAAATTTGCACAGGACAAATCATTATACACAAACCTTACAACAGTGTAAAAATAGGTGAAATCGGACCCCGCCCACTCCTCATGTAACGGAATCGTTAAAAACTACTAAAAGTACGATAAATCAAAAACTAAATGCGCTAGAGACATTAAATTTTACAATGGAACTGATAGAAGAGGGCTTTAGATGAGCCAGTGCCTAAATTTAACGATGGGAGTGGCACCGCACATATTCATTTTTCAGTATATAAATCAAGCACCAATGAATATATCGAAATAACCTTTTGCATAAATAATGCCTCTGTAAAATTTTCAAAATTGGCCATAACTGTTCAAGCCCCCAAATACCGAAGATGTAGACCGTAGCTGACTTTTTACTTAAAATATCGGTCAATGTATAAGATATATTACTGAAACTCGGAGAGAATTCTTTTCTGATAGCAGCCCGATTCCTTACTTGTTTATTTTAGTTTATTATTTGAATATTTCTTCGAATATGAATTGAATTATATTTTTTCGTCGGGAAATATCGAATTTTATTTTCAAGGTTGACTCACGCATGTTATTTTGACTGTCACTGTAAATAAATTCAAAATTGGTTGATGTTTATTTATTTCATTAATGACGCAAGTGAAAAGTAAACAATTGCCAATTTTGTTTCGTTTATCCGGCGAAATAAGTAGCTATGGGCCTCTCAATATGTGAAAATATTCACTCTTTTCGACTTTCAGTTAGAGCAAAGCAACAGCGCTATATTTATTGGCGCTTTAACCATGTTACGCAAACATTTCCGGAATCAGCTAGAATGACTTCAGTGACCAATTCTTGTCCCTCTCCAACATAGATAAATACTGCATACTTCCTATATTTTCATTATCTGACACGCTTGGCCATCCAGCTGAAACTACATACAACTACATACTTGTACATAACGCCACAGTGGGAAGTTTTATCATTTTGAAGTATAGATAATAACTGATAAATGCACGGAAGAACATTGATATATTGTTTTGTTTTTTTTTTGCTGAAATATTAGAGTAAGGTTCTTATTTATACAGGGTGTTCAAAATTATATTTATACATTTGAGTTGGTGGGTGCGACGGATAGCCACGGCGGTTTTTGTGGTTATGGGTAATGGGATAAGGATAATTTAGTATGCGGATGACCATGTCTCTAAGCGCAGGAACTAATGAAGTAACTGCGGTTCTGCAAACATTGTAGGTTCATTGAGAAGTACGGTCTGTAAATTCCTTATTATTAAATTCTTGGAAGGCAATATTTTTCGCGAAATAATTTTAAACTCTACTCGCAAGCAGAGTTTACAGATCATTCCCGCGTAATCCAGTTTTCGTACAAAATGCTTGCGAGGTCCACTATTTATAAAATATTTGCATTTTTTTTAAATATAAACAGCTTTAACAGTTGAAAATATACTGTTACAAAGTTTTTCGATTTAGTAACTACTGTAGGTCAGACAGAACAACAAGTTGCACTTTAATGACCCATTCGGTGTTGCAATCTTTTGGGCGAATTGTGATATCCAAAAATGTCACACTGCGAGACCTCATGTACTCAAGACTTGTACCCAATGAAGTTTTTATACTTTGAACAAGTTTAAGTTTGCCCCGAAGTTTTTAACACACAGCAGGAAACTTCGGAGACCCATTAAAATGTATATATCTTATATATGATCAGCGTGACCAGCTGAGTCGATTTAGTTCTTGTAGGAAGTTTACGAGTATATGGATCTATTCATAATGTTATAAATTCAAATTTGTATCTCATTATCTACGTTTTTTTCTGTATAATCGGTAGCTAAAGAAAATGATATAGGGAAGCAACAAATTGTTTGAAAATTATGAAAGCTGACACGGCGGCAACAAAAATGTTTTCCCGGAAAGTAGTTGATTTCATAAAATGACACCTTCAAACATTAGAAAAAGGAACGGAGTATTTTCATTATTGACATATCTTCAAATTACTTTGAATGTGTTTCAAAAACTTTTTAGTTGTTTATCTGAGTAGTTTTTGATTTTCGCAAGGCAGGCTCACGTTGCATAATAATCTTTATATTGCCAGTTAATTAAATCATAACATTTTTGGAAGAATTATGACATCATAAAGAAATAAAAGTGTCATTTCTAACTCATGTTAGAGACGAGACGATATGAAGAGTGCGACGAACACTTGTGTGTTTGTCAATCAGCACCCGATTCAATCGATTCGTGACCTCACTTTCGGCATAGTTCAGCAAATGGTCAGTAATAAATTTCCCATCATTTCGTAATTATAATTTAATTGACTACACGTTCTGGTGATCTCTGTATGTGAGCGGATGAAACAAAGAGAGGATGTTAACACAATTTGCACTATGACAAGCGAAAACTCATAAGGGAGGAGGGGCTCGGTCGGAACCGTAAAATTAATTAGTATCATATCTTTTGAAATATCGGCTCCATTGTGCACAACTAGTCGTTTAAACGAACTGCATAAGTGTTATAAAAATCAGCTTAATTAAAGTAATGGTTTCCCGCACTGTATGTTATTTTGCTGCTGGAACGAATTAAGTGTTTGATATTGCCTTTGGGAAAAGAGAAGTCGCGAATCATTTAGGTCTCCCCATTGGTGGTCCAATGGTGCTTCTGCTCTCCGAACTGGATGGATCGCCGATTTCAATTCAAACGCTTTAGATTAATATCATCAGCGATTTAATTTTTCCTATCTTTTGACAGGTATTTTTTAAAAGTTAAGAGATACAAAAATTGCCGAATGTAAATTAATTTTCCTACGATCGATAGCAATCTTTTGAAGTCTAAAGTTTCGATGGTCAAATAATGGATAAACTATCGATGGTAATGTACAGCCAAACGTTCATTTTAATTCTAAACAAAGCCTTGATGACTTCACGTACTGTTGAGTTTATATCACGAATCCGCTCTATAGAAAATAACGCGACAAAACTGTCATAATCTTTAGCTCTATCATTTTTGGTCATTAGAAAACATGTCGTTTATTTGTCATCGCACAGGCTATACCAATAACTGGTACATTTTAAGACGGGCTCTGTCTTTGTCTTGAACATTTTAAAATTTTTCAATTCGAAAACAAATCTGCCGATTTGTTGATTGTTCACTACATATGTTATGTTCTTTTGTTTTTATCGAGTTGAGCGCTGGTATAAAAATAATTCTGATTTTATATGTTACGGTGTTTATTTATTCCTTTATTCTCGTATATATGATATACGTATGTGTATATATATATACATATGTAATTTGCATAAGGGAGACTCATGACGTAGTGTTTGAACGGAGAGTAAGGAGGGCAGAACAGAGCAGCAGGCTGGGCGTATTTTCTCTGATCGTATTACCATAGTGTATTTAGTATATCGAAGCAAACATAAAACATAAAGGCTGTTAACTGCAGGTAATGTTGGCGCTAAAAAGGGCGCGGTGAGCTGTTACGATCTGAAATGTGACACGCGACTCGGGTGAGTGATACACGAGTTATTAAAGATTAATAACGTGCTGAAACTATCATTGCGGCAGTAATGTTCGTTTATCACACATTTTTTCATACACATAACTTAATTAGAATACTACACCGCGATCAATTATATGTATATACATATATAATAAAAAGCCAATATAAATTATTCACAGTTCATGCTTGTTCACGCGAGCGCCTAGTTCATCTTGCAGAAGAGCTGAAAACGAAAAAAGATACCGCAGTTTATAACGAGCCGTTGGTGAGCGTTGTAGGCTATGGGAGCAAGCTGCAAACGGAGATTTCCAAAAAATTAAAAATAAAAAGTTAGATATAAAATTAAAAAATATGAAAAATTAATAAAATAAAATTTGTGAATAATAAGCGGCGAATTGTGTAACGCGCTTCACTTCTGATTTTTTTTTTGTTGTATTAGGCATATGTGTACGTATGACGTACATACATACACCGGTGTGTGTCAGCTGTCGGTCGGTTCTTTACATTCCTACATTCCCGTGTTCGTTATCTAATTAAACAGATGTGTTTTACAAGATCACAGAGTGCTTGCAAATTATATACATACTTAGTATATTGTACATATGTACATATATATGTGCATTCATATAATTAGACTCAGCCAAAAACGCTCACCTATCGTTAGTCAGGGAAATTTCGCCATTCGATTTGAACATTTCGCTTAGAAGGCGCATTTTCGGTACTTGCTCACGATTTATTGTTGTTGGTGGCACGGTAAAAAGTCCATCATACAGTTATACGAGTACATAAGCCACGGTTCGTGCGTCTTGTTCGCGTGCACGCGTGTCTTCTTTCTACTGCACTCAGCTAAAGAACCACAAAAAAAGAAACATTAACAATAAAATTCGGTTGTATAATTACATAAAGTATAAGAAAAAATGCAAATGAAGCAGAGTTTCGGTCGGAGTTTCTTGAATGAATTTAAATTGAGAAAATTTGGCTTCAAGCATTCGCATTTGGATCAATTCTATCAATCGCAGGTACAAATGATCAAATAATCAAATCCTATTAAAAGGCATAAAAATATATTTTAACCTAGGTTAACGGACTAATAGGTGTCTTTGTGTCGATTGACATTGAACAATTAAATAATGGTGGAATCCCAATTTTGTGCTTACGCCAATGAATTTTGTGTTGACAATACAATTCTCGCGTCCGACGATTTCGTGTGCTATTTTCGATTGTGTACATAAACAAATTAAAATATATGTACATACATACATATATGTGTTCACATAAAAAAGCTAGAATGCAAGTTATTCCTAGCATTCTATATTTGGCATAAGTTAGAGTTACATGACCTTTGACAGGTACAAGTGATTGGTGGTGGACTACTTTGTTGTGCAAACTGCAATGCAAAGTGGTGAAGCGTGAATAAAATACACAATTTGGACAGCATTTCAATTTCTACAAACGTAACATGAAAAAATTAATGTTTTTGCTTTTAAAGTTCAAGTTCGATTCGCACCCAAAATTTGCTCTGTTAAAAAGTATTTACATAGGCATTGCAAATGTATGATTTTGTAACGAATGTGGTATATATAACTAAAAACGATATCATCATTCCTACAGACCTTTCTTAGTTTTTCTTCCTTTTTCTGTTCTTATGCCAAACATATGCAAATAAGGTATAGTCTTAAAGGTAGATATTGAAGCTGCATGCCAATTATAATAAAAATTGAAGTTAATCAGCATTTTATTAAAAAAAAGGGGAAAAACGTTCACTTAGGCTCCACCGAAGCTATAACATCTTTTACAGGTCTGGAACATTTTCTTACAAGAACTTGATTTTGATCGGTCAGTGTGTATGGCAGCTATATGCTATAGTGGTTCGATCTACGCCGAACTTTGTGTACCTCGTCAAATAAAAAAGTTTTCCATACAAGAACTTCATTTTGATCAGGGTATAATTACAAATTGTTGCGATTGTCCTAAAACACTGTTGTGAATGTCGGAATGCATTGCCGTTTGCTCTAAAGGCAACGCCATCGGAAATTAGCAAAAACGCATAACTTTATTCCCTAATTGGAGCGCTAAACATTGTGACTTTTAATGTTAACAAGTGCCCGTACGTGTTATACCCAGTTAAACACGTCAAAGTTGTGTTTCCTCTGCTTTTCGACGATGTTTTCATTTTAAAAAACTCAGTGCAAAAAACTGTCAAAACTATGAAATTAGTAAACTATATTTTAGTGAATATATTGTCAAAACATAAGGTTCTTCTAACGCGACCAAAATTGTGTTACGTATGTAAATAAACATATGGTATTCATTATGTCATGCCATATCAGTTTTATACGAATTTATGACAATGCATTTAAGCCAAATTGACAACCTAGAGAAAAGTGTTAAGTTTGCGCTCGTCAATCAAATTTGCGTAATATGCGTACAATTGAATTTCAAAAATAGTGTAAATTTCAAATTATCGCCATTAAATTTTACATATTGAGAACCAGTCATAATTTTCTGAAGTCATAAGTGGAAAGATAAATTCAAGAATACTGAAGTATTTTATTTACTATTAAAACAAAATTTAATTAAATTAAAGTTTGAAGTAAACAGTAAAACCTCAACATTATTTTATTATTTCAAGTTTGCCAAAACATTATTTTGGCTTCGAAATTCGATGTGAATTGGCGGCGTGTTGACCATGACCATGACAATATATTAAATACATTTACCTAAAATGTTTGATATTATAGATATCCTAATGTACTTACATATGTATGTATACAGAATGAGAAACCATTTCACAATAGTGACGTGTCTTTGCCGAGCGAAATGGGAAAAGATAACCAATTGTTGAATTTGGGGTGGAAGCATATCCCTATACATATAAATATCTGTGTATTTCCGTGTAATTTTGTGAGTTATTTATGTACATCTGTACGTATGTATCTATTACATGTAAATATGCTACATATGGCTATGACTTCTTATCAAACTTTTAGAAGGCGGAAATAGTAGCACGGCTGTGTAGACCGATGACATTGTTGTTATCAGCCACTGTGCGCTCTTATAAAAGCTTAACGGCTTAGTTCTTCTGCTCGAACACACTTTTATATTTTATTTCCATGTTCTCTTATAACATTAGAATGGAGAAACCACAACGACAAGGCGTCACCCTATATTAAAAATGCTTCGTTATCCAAGATACAGTGAACCAAAAAAAAACTTATATAGGGAGATGGTTTGACTTTGAAGTGACGTATCTTGAAAACTATTAAAACTCATGAGCAGCATTCAAAAGCGAGAAAATTACCGTTTTTTTAATTTTCATAATAAATTGCAACTTATTATCTTAAAGGAGTTTTTAACCTTTTTTTCCACAAAATTAAAAAAATCAGAATAACTCCATTTTCGAAAACCAAAAAAAAACTGTCAATGAGCTCAAGAACACCTCTCTGAAAGAAGCTGCACTTCGAAGCAAAACATATGTATGTATGTACATATACTGCAACATTGATGGCAGCTGTGTACCTCAGCATGAAAGACAATGCAAGACAAGAAGAAAACGTACATATTAGTTTTATCAAAACTATAATACCCCTCGCAAATAAAAAAGTTTCTATACAAGAACTTAATTTTAATAATTTAGCTTATATGAAAGCTAAGTATGTGCTATAGTGGTCCAATCGGAAAAATTTGTTCGGTTATTGTATCGTTGCCTTGGATAATACCAACATAATTTCGTAAATTATTGTATCTTGTCAAAACAAAGAACTTGATGTTGATCGTTCAATTTGTATGGCAACTATAACCTACAGTTGCCCGATATCGGCGATTGCGACGAATGAGCAACTTCTTATGAAGAGAAGGATGTGCACAAACTTTCAGATCGATATCTCAAAAACTAATTGACTACTTCGCGTATAGATATACGCACTCATAGGCAGACATTGCCAAATCGGTTTAGCTCATCACGCAGATCATTTATATATGTACTATATATTAGTTCGTGACTTCATGAGCTAAACTTGGCGTGCCTTAACTCTATATTTTTTGTTGGACCAATCTACTCGAGCTTCTGTAACCACTTTCTAATAAAGTATTTTTAAAATATGAAAACTTTTCATTCACCTGAGGTAGAGATAGTGTATAGAATCACTAACCTCTAGGTTTCAAATAATTGTAGTATAATTGTTTGAATTGTTTAAAAGTGAAAAAGTAATTAAAGCACATAACGTCAGCAGTGTTACCTATTTTCTTTAACAACACTGTAAATAAAGGCGCAACATGTTGTCGACTGAAGGGCATTGATCGCTACAGTGTATAGTACATACATATATAAATGAGTATTAGTCAATTGCGGTAGTCACGAAGCACATAACAGAATTTACCTACTATACCATATATACAAGCTAGTGGTTACGTTTGACGCTCAATTTCAGGAACAATAAGTTGATGTTGCGGTTTTTCTAATAAAATATTGTAAATACAGAGAAATACATTTTCTCAATAATGAGCAAATCTTTGTAGCTTGTGAGGAACTTAGCAAATTATTTAATGTTAAGTTTTACAACATTATTTGAATCACTTACTGAAAATTAATTTATAATAATATAGTAACATAATTTAGAATACAATTAATAAGTAACACTCTGCAGATAGTATCTGTAATATACATATGTATGTAATATGAACTTACACATAGCCAATAAAGTCTGCGTTCACCCGACATATTTTTTTAAGTGAAGTAAAAACACAATGTAAATAGATAATTCAGTTCAAATTTTTTACATGTATTTCTTCTTTATACTCTGATATACCCTGAACTGGTTATATTAAGCTTGTCACGAAGTTTGTGACACCCAGAAGGAAACACCGGAGACCCTATAACATATGTACATAAATGATCAGCATGAGTCGATTTAGCCATGTCCGTCTGTCTGTATATATATGTAAATACGAACTAGTCCTTCAAGTTTTAAGTTATCGATCTGAAATTTTGCACCTGTCCTTTCCTCACTAAGAAGTTGCTCATTTGTCGAAACGGCCGATATCGGAACACTATAACACATAGCTGCCATGCAAACTGAACAATTGGAATCAAGTTTTTGTATGCGAAACTTTTGTATTTGTGAAGAGTGCTTTGGTGGAGTCGAAGTTAACGTTTTTTCTTGTGATAGTTGAGTTCATTCATCATGATTTAGATGGGATGTTTCCTCACGTCCCTTGAACGATATAGAAACGATTCATAAACCAAAGATGACTCTACTTAATGCGATTCATTGTTCTAAATAATAATTTTATTGTAGAGCTTAGTTAGTTTAGCACTTTATAAGGGTTGTTATAGAATCTGATAGTTGTCGGTTTTAGAATTGAAACCGATAAAAATATGTAGTAGGTGTCATGAGTTCAGATATTATTGGTTTGACGTTCGAAACAGAAATTGTATCGGTTTTGGATGTAACCGAAACCAATTTTATCGGTTTTGCTTTCAGAAACAAAGCAAAGGGATAGTCGCTGACAGATTTAATATGTAAGTTAAGCAATTAATTTTGTTGTTTTTGTTAAGATTTAATTAATCTTTATTTCCATAGGAGAAAACATTGGAATAAAACACAAAATGTCGTAATTATTGAGTTTATGGAAAAAATCCAGATATTTTAAGAGGATTTACAAAACGTAACAAATGTAATTTAACACCCAAATACGTATTTATGCAGACGATAATGTGATATAAAACTGTAAAGTAAACATGTATACAAACATATGTATGTATGTACAGGTTATTGCAAGCCAAATTTAACATGCGATTCCCGTGGTGCATTAATTGGATTACTGTGATGTGATCCCTTAATATCCCCTTAAGCTAAAACAGCAGAACTAATTATAAACTTTAATATAGTTTATTCCGTATTTTAAATTTATCAAACGCTTCAAAATTTATCAATTTGAAAGTTTGGTTGCATCAGTAAACAGTTGATTTGAATATTAGTTTTGCGTTCGAAAGAACGAAAAACAATCAGATTCTGTTACACCACCGAAAATCAGAATTGGTTTGCAATTCTGACAACTACACAAATTAAGATGTGTTTTTCATTTTTAACACATACACATGCTATGTAGATATGTCAATGTCAACGATGTGCAGATCTGTCTAAAGGGGTACACCTCAAGGAGGCGTGTTATCCACACTTCTTTGGATACTGACAATGAATAAGTTGCTGTTGGATATAGAACAGAAGCGGGTACATTTTGTGGCCTACGCTTACGATGTGGCAGTTTCGGTTAGAGGTAAATTCCCGAATACTCTCGCACATCTTATGCGAACGATCTTGGGCGATATAAATTGCTGTATCGTGCGGATTAAACTTAAATGCGGGTAAGACATAACTAGTATTGTTCACCAAAAAACATAATACTCCAGTAGTTACGGCGCCATTATTAAATGGTAGCAGACTTACAATTGGAGATAAGGCAAGCTACTTAGGACTAACCTTTGACAGGAAGCTTTCATGGAAGCAAAACTTGGATGCTAGGGTGAAGAAATCAGCTACAGCACTCTACACCTGTAAAAGGATGGTATGCCCCAAATGGGGGCTAACGCCTCGGTTAGCTTATTGGCTCTACACAGCGGTTGTCACACCAATCATGACATACGGCATATTGGTATGGTGGCCAATAATGGAAAATAAATACGCGGTGAGGCGTATGGAAAGTATACAAAGAGCAGCCAGTATATGCATTAAAGGAGCTCCCAGAACAACGCCAAGCCAGGCACTAAACGTCATTCTACATTTATTACCAACAGACCTGTTCTGTAAGCAAGTGGCAGAAAAGCCAGCTCTCAGACTGAGGGAATCCTTCCTTAGTCGCCTGCAACAAGGGGCATTCTAGGATACTTAGTTTATTCCGGTTTCTACGAAAAACTACGGATTTCCGCAATCCAATAGAATTGAAGCTAAATTCGGTCCACAACATTGCCTTCCCCACCAGAGAGGAGTGGGAAGGGACGAGCGGTACAGGAATGCAGGAATTAGCATCTACACGGATGGATCCAAACTACTTAATCGAGTGGGAGGTGGTGTCTTCTCCGCAACTTTAGACACCAAAATCGCCTTCCGTTTGCCAGATCACTGCAGTGTTTTCCAAAAAGTGTGCTCACAACAAGGAGCATATATATATATACAGATGTGAAAGAATGTATTGATCTATTAGAGTATCTAACATCCTACTTTACTATAAACTAGCAATGGGTTCCAGGGCATAGTGATGCCCCTGGTAACTGCGAAGCAGATGAACTAACCAGAACAGGTACCAATTTGCAATTAACCCCTGAAAAGAGGGAATTTTTTTGCCTCTGGCAACTTGCAAACTGAGTCCCGGCGGAGACAATCAATAACTTGCTCAACTAGCAGACTAACGTGACAAAAATGGAGCGTGAGTCGCACAAACCGACTACTAAATTTAAAAGGAATGACATAAGAACTCTGATAGGAGTACTAACAGGTCACTGCCTAATTGGTAGACATGCTAGCAGGCTAGGTGTACCTAATAACGACTATTGTAGAAGCTGTCAGGAAGTAGAAGAAGAGGAGGCTGTAAAACATCTTCTATGCGAATGTAAAGCTCTATACAGGAGAAAAATCGCAACTAACGGTCGAGGGTTCCTTGACGACGTATCGGAAGTTGCTAATTTAAAACTATGAGAGAACATTAGTCCCGGTGGCATCACAACGCACCTCCTATAGGCCTAGGTGCGTCGTTAGACAGCCACTCTACCTACCTACCTACCTATATATGTACATATAAATGCATATTATAATGTTCAAATTCACGAAAAATATTTAATAATTAATTTATAATAACAATAATAATTATTCGTCCCGATACCGTACATTGTTAAAAAAGTGAATCTTAATAAATAATGTAATGTAATAAAAGTAGTTATAGGAAAACTTTAGAAGGGCATCTCTCGAATTCGGGATTAAAAACTTGCAATATATATTTTGAAGGGGAACAAAAATAAGTAAAATAAGAAGTAAGTAATTTTTCAATTCAAGTTTGTATGGAAAAAATACCCCTGGTAGGTCCAACAACGGAATGTTTTTAGTCTTTTCGTAAAAAACTCTTTCGATATTGGCGGCATTCAGCCGCACTCAAAAAAAAAATTACCCTGATCGGACCAACAATGGAATGTTCTTGGGAAAGAAACTAGGGAAAAAATTAATTACAAAGTCTGTGTACCTTCGGCATTCTCTAAATATATGAAAAGTGTGATAAATCTTTAAGTTATACTTCGAGAAATAAATAATAATTTAATTATGTTTATAAGGGGTTATTTATGCTACCAAAACTTACCGTTAATAAAATTTATCACACAAACTGTAATATATATATCCTTCCTTTTCTTAGTGTGTGTTATTTTTTATTATGTACCATTGTTTTAGCTTTAAATAAAATTTTCGCAAAATAGTACATATTATGACCGGAAAAATTATTGCAATAATAATTAAATCATTCTCATAGTTTACGAGAAAATATTATTGTGAAGCTACAGATACATTTCAAGAGGATACATGCGATATTCTGCGAGTACCACCTCGACCCATTTAAAAGCAAATAGTTTCTAGAAAAACGCGTTTAAAGTTTTAGTGGCTAAAGCTGACTGACCTAAATGCTTCGACACTCCAGTGATTTGGACAGAGAAACAATTTATTTTCACTATTCTAATAATAGAATAATGTTTCAAGACCTTAATGTTTAGTTTAAGACAAAAAAAAATCGATTTTTAGAATATTACCAGATAGGAGGTCTCTGAGGTATGTGGGTTGGTAACAAATTTTGAAAAAATCATCGCGCCAACTGGTGGTCAAAACCAGAGCATCTAAGATTACATGGCGAAACTAATGTGTCTGAGATTGCACGGCATTATAATATCAGGTAACATTTTTAATAATATAGACAAAGAACTTTGAGCAGCCAAAGGATATATGGACTTTCATATTTCTTAAAGAGGCACGTGAATGTTATAATTCGACAATAACAAAGTTTCGTACCAAAAAATTGAATACCATATGTAAAAAGTTCTTTTTATTTAAACTCATAATAGGTTTAACCAATTGATGCCCTAGCGTCTCCTCTAAAATCGAAAATTGTGTATGTAAAATATTTTATTCAATCAATAACATGATATTTTCATTTTATATTCTTCGAAAGATTAGATGCTTAAATTTAAATAAAAAATACCTCATGCAGACGGTTAAACAATGGGTTAAGAACTCTCTTAGAGTTTCAAGTTATAACGATCAGCAGGCTGAAGCTTAAAATAATATTGGGGGTTTGCTCGTAAAGGTCATATACATTGAAATTGGTGCTAGTAGCGGTTTAACATAATATTAAGATTTGCAATCAAGTTGTAGCCGTTGAGTGTAAGCTTCATTTCATAATAAAGATATAGTGAAAATCTCTTCTATCTAATTCATGTGCCTTCACAATACTTCGAATTTTTATCGAAAACATAACATCATTTACCTTTTTCTTTCCAGTGGCAAAGTGGTGTGCGCAGTTTTTATTACCTCTTGTATCGATGGACATGGGCGTTCTTTTTTATTTCTGTGTTCATAGCATCTTTGGTTTTGCAATTATCAGGTGGCAAATTCTTCATCTTCTTGACGAATTGGGGCATAATTGCGTGCCTGCTGGCCCAGCTAAGCGGTACTGTTCTCGCGACGCGATGGTACTACAATTTGGGCAACGCACGTAGTGCTGTGATGGAGGGTAAGATATTGAAAGAGCCCCCGCCCACATCAAGGCTGATCAAATTCTATTGGTTAGTGCATGGTGCTGCTTTAGCGTTGGCGCTGGTCATCACCACGGTTTACTGGACATTTTTACATGGGAAAATGGGTAAGTTTATTGTTATTATTTTGTGGCACAAATATATACATACATACATATATAGGAATTGCAATAGGTTAACGCGATATTTTTAATATATATCTGATTTTTTTATCTTTCTGCATTTTGATTATTATGACTGACATTTGCAATTAAGTTTTATTGGTATTCCAAATTCGCTGATAATTCTTCAAGTCATCCTAACCTGTTTATTTGTGAGGGCCTGTCGGTGAAGATTATTAAAACATTTATGGAACTTGGTGTTGAGTCTAATCTCAAATACCAAATCTCCTCCGTACTTTGCGGCAGAACTTTTGTGGCGGAGAGGGGTGGTACACCAACAAATTATAGGCGAATAACACACAAGTTGGAGTTATTTACCTTTTTCTAACTGCGAGTTCAAAGATAGGTTTGTCATAAACCCAAGTAAAAATGTACAGTTCACTAGGAAACCTTAGATCTCATTGAAATAAAAATTGAAAATTTGCTGAAATTTAGAGATTTCTGAAAAGTTCCAGAAGATTTGTTGATATAATATATGCGTGTTAAGATCCATCTTTTTTAAAAAAATAACCATTTTAAAATTACTTAAATCTGATCCAAATCGTGGATTGAACTTAGTACTAAACAATAATTTTGCCATCTAATCATCAACTGCTTTTAATATAGAGGCTAATTATTTTGAATCTTAATTTTTGGCTTAGTTATGGCGTTTTATAAGTTTTCGATTAACGGCATTTTTGGGCGTGACAGTAGTCCGAAAACATCCATATGCAATGCCAACTTCGAAGGCTGTGTACCAGGGAACAAGGTTGGCTGAAAAGTTTCTGCGCTCGAAATGAAAAAATATTGTTTTTGATACGAAATATATTTTTTTATTCAATATAATCTCCCTTAACTTCAATGATCCAAAGCTGTGCAAAATACTCATCTACAGCTGTAATAACTTCTTCATTCGACGAAAAACGCTTTCCACGAAATAATTGTTTCAGGTTTCTGAAGAGGTCGTGGTCTGGTGAATATGGTAGATGCTTAAGCAATTTGTACTTTAATTCGTTGAATTTTGTTATTGTTAAAAACCTTTTTATGCTGAGAAATTTGTTTTCGATTCAGTTTTTCAAACAGTTTTTTCATATGTAATTTTCCATGTAAAATATGAAGTACTCGTTCGTCTGAGATGCCTATGGCATTAGCTATTTTCCGCTTAGTCAAACTTGGATCTTCATTAACAATATTATGAACTTGCTCAATGATTTCTGGTGTGGTTGCGGTTTTTGGTCGTCCTTATGGGATCGTCCTCAAGCCTACGACCCCGTTTAAATTAACAAGCCCAAAATTCAACCGTGCGTTTTGAAGTAAGGACTCTTTATACACTTCTAACAATTGTTCATAACTTCCTTTGCTTTTAAACCTTTCAAAGAAAAGAATATTATCACTGCGTGATATTCAATTTTTTCCATATTAAAAAATCAAAACCTGACTTTATTTGGTAAAATCGCCCTACAACAATTTGACATCCACACTCTCAACAACAATGACTGAACAATCGAATGTGACAGAACTTTGTATTTACTTGCAGACAAACCCATGCTCTATCCCGTGATGAGCTTCATAACCCACTGCCTCAATTCAGTATTCATGCTGGTGGATTTTTGGTTGGTCGCATTTCCGGTGCGTTTACTGCATATCATCTATTGGATGCTGCTACCCATATTCTTCTACATATTCACTGTGATTTATTATTTCGCGGGCGGCACGGATGAGTAAGTATTTTGAAGTTTATGAAATAAACTCAATGTTATGTGCTACATACATATGTACTCATACATATGTACATACATACATAGAAGTGTGCTTATGTGTTTATTTCGCCCATTTCATTGTTATTATTTTGATTGTGATTTATGTTTCTAATTTCAATTTGATTGTATTTGCGTTTTATAGATATGGCCACCATTATGTTTATCCAATTCTGGACTGGACCAATCCCATGCGTGCTGTAACCACCTTTGCTGGCGTTTTTATCCTCTATATTATCTATGGCATTGCTTTGTTTCTGCTCAGTAAATTCAAGAGATATCTCTCACGTACTGTGAGCGCCATGGATAGTCCACATGCCATCGGATTAATCTAAATTCTTGCAGATGAAATACCAATTTTAATTAGCAGAATTACTTTTAAGCATCGTAAGACATTTTAGTATATGAATTTTTTTACACACACATTCATGCACTCTGCCTGATATATGTTTATGTACGTACATACTTATGTTAGACATATGTTATGTGAATACAGAGCATATACATACATACATATTCATACCTTAATGCATTATATTATATAAGTACTTTGAGTAGTTAGCACGTAATATTTTGTTTTATTGTTATAACATAAATGAAAAAAATCGAAAACTGAATTTTAGATTTAAGTAATGATAAACTAAAGACACAACTGAAAACTTGTCCCTTATGAATGAAGTCAATGAAATAAATAATGAACCAGTAATGGATTGTTAAGTCTTTTCTTCTTCGGTAGTTCACATCACTCATCTCCAAAATGAGCTTTACGAAGCTTAAAGTGTTTAGAGCAAGTGCAGGATTTCACGCTACTTCAACGCTATTTGAGTGAAATCCTTTACCTTAGGAACTACTTCACCAATTTGGATAAAGTTTAATGCATAATATTATCCTGACATTTTTATATTACACTGACCACAAACACACCTACTTACCATATATCACAATTCAAAATTTCATCTGCCTTTTTCTCTTTGCAATATACATACAAAGAGAGCCAATGATGTCATTGAAATAAAACTTTCCACAAATATATATCCGAATTCGGACCATAAGATTTCAAGCCTCAAAACACTGTTATGCGTACCCCAGCGCCTGTGGTTGCCTTTTCATGGAAGATATGGGTCAAGCTGTGAGATATATGTATTATTGAAATTTAGATATAATAATGTGTCCTTGGATTAAACATGAGTGAAATCGGGTCAATACTTCCTCTAGACCCCATATACATATATACCCAATAGAAAAATTTTCGAACTACCAGTTGACTTTATACCGTATACATAGCATATATCGGTCAATATGTGCGTTATCCTAATCAAATTTAGAGAGCGTATTTTTCTAATAACAGTGTGTCCTTGTGCATAAAAGCGATGAAATTGGGTCTACTCTTAGCCCCTAATATACCTAATATAAAAATTTAAAGCTTTATACCGAATTGGGTATGTAATGTACAAAAAAATATATAAACTTTGTTTTAGCTGGTTAATTGACTGTCTCATGTTTTTGCTTATAAGTTTGATTGGTCCCTATGAGAGTGGCATTATTCTTCCAAAGTGACAACAAGTTATCGGACAAACCGTAGCATATTTGATCCAAATCGAATCAGTCTAACTATGCTAATATAAACATTAAATTTAATGCAAAAAATATGGACTTATTTTTACTAGACCTTATATTATATTAGGTAAAATAAAAAGTTCGTTCGGTTTTTATCTAAGAGATGGCATTATTGTCCATAGTATTAGTGTTACGTGTCACATCATGTCATACTATACGGCGCTGAAAACGTGTTTATTCGCGCTAAAAGTTTGTCTTTGACAGTTTTTCGATTGATTGACTCAGTACGTTGTGAGCGCTCATCAAAGATGGACACCAGCAAAGAGAAAATTCGCTATATTTTACAATTTTTCTTCGATCAAGGCGAAAAAGCAGCCAAAGCGACTGAAAAAATTAATTTAGTTTATGGGCCCGATACTGTAAACGAACGTGTAGCACAAAAGTGATTTGCTAGGTTCCGTTCAGGTAATTTCGATGTCACAGATGCACCACGCGTCGGGAGGCCTGTCGTCGAAAATTGCGATAAAATCATGAAAATAGTGGAAACAGACCGTCACGTGAGCACTTATTTAATTGCTGAGGAACCGTTTCTGAAGCGATGAAAAATTGGTCACTTACGACAACATCGAGCGCAAACGGTCGTGGTCAAAGCTCGGGGAAGCGGCCCAGACGGTGGCCAAGACCGGATTGACGGCCAGGAAGGTTTTGCTGTGTGTTTTGTGGGATTGGCAAGGAATCATCTACTGCGAGCTGCTCCCCTATGGCGAAACGCTCAATTCGGCCCTCTACTGCCAACAACTGGACTGCTTGAAGGCAGCACTCATCCAGAAGAGGCCATCTTTGATCAACAGAGGCCGAATTGTGTTCCATCAGGACAACGCCAGGTCACACACGTCTTTGGTGACGCGCTAGAAGCTCCGGGAGCTCGGATGGGAGGTCCTAATGCACCCACCTTATAGTCCGGACCTGGAACCAAGTGATTACCATCTTTTCCTGTCCATGGCGAACGCGCTTAATGGTGAGAAGTTAGCCTCAAAAGAGGCCTGTGAAAATTGGCTGTCCGAGTTTTTTGCCAATAGGGACGCAGCCTTCTACGAGAGGGGTATAATGAAGTTGGCATCTCGTTGGCAACAAGTTTATGAACAAAACGGCACATATTTGACTTAAATCGGACAAATGCACACCAAGTTATCATCTTTTGAAAAATCAATAAAAAACCGAACGAACTTTTTACTTTACCTAATACCTATATAAAGTCAGTTGTTTCCGTTTGCGAAATTCCATCAGCTTGTTCAAACATCCGTTTCATTACATACATTTGTATATACAAATATTTAAGCGTTCAACAGGTGTGAGGTATGTATATATCAAGTGCGATTGCGTAGTTAGATAGCTCGAAATGAGCATTCTCTACGATAATTAAATTCTATTGCTTGCACGTGTTAGACAACATTGCATTTCATGACGAATTGTTTGTGTAATATCATAAGAAAAGTTCGCCACCAAAATAGAAGCTCGGTTAAAAAGACTGGATATTTTTTAAGTACGGCAATAGCTTCATTCTTTATATAACAAAAAAGCGAAGGCATACAAAAATGTAACCAACAGCTACAATCTTATATAATAAAATATCTTAATATCTGATCGAATTACTTCAATGCATAGACAGAGGTATAAATGGATTCACGACACCTACACTGACTACAGAGTATCAGTACGGCCTTAACTTTCGCCTTAAATGCGCTGCAGTACAAGTATACCGAAAGACTCATATTTAGATTAATGGAACTTTGTATTGTAGTAAACGCCTGACAAAACGTGTCATTCTGGAAACAAATTTAACACGGCGTAGTAGAACCCTGAGACCACTTTGCCAGTCTTAAGGTAGTCGATGTACGAGTAGTTCACACCTTGTTGATTGCAGGAAACGGCAGCTATCACCTTTCCGGCCGATAACACAGTCCTCCCGTTCTTCGGTACAGGTTCGCTCGGTAAAAACCACTGTTTCAACCGTCCCTTAAAGTGGCCTTTTATGACACGCTTGGGTGTCTCTTGATCTCTTCATAGCAGAGTCTTGGCGAACATTTTTTGAAAAACGAGTTGAAGCGTTATTTATTATACCCTGAACAGGGTACAATAAGTTTCCCACGAAGTTTATAATACCTTCACACACGACTTTTTCTACTATGGAATATGATAAGGAAAACCTTTTCATTTGGCAAAATATCTTCAAGAAATTTGACATGGGTTATTACTTAAGACAATGAAGCAATATCCGAGCAAATTGTTCAGATCATTCATATAGCGTTGCCCCACCTTCGAGTAAGTTTAATGTACATATCTTCTAAGCCATTCAAGTTATAAAAACCCTGTGAAAAAGGTGAATTCGGCTTATAGCGCCCACTACCTATATAACGGTTTTTTTGTTTTTAACTACTAAAAGTGCGATAAATATATAAATAAATACGCTAGACATTAAATTTTACATCCGAGATGATATGAAAGAGCTTTATAGGAGCCGACGTTATATTTAAACGGTGGGGGTGGCACCCCCCCACACTTAGATGAAAACCCATATCTCGGAATCTACTCGGCTGATTTCAATCAAATCACAAAGCGAACAATGTATCCGAACAAAACTTTCCACGAATAGTTCCTTTGAGATGTGCCACCTGATAACCAAAAATTGTCCAAATCGAACCACAATTGATCAAGCCCCCAGATACTGAATATGTGGACCACAGTTCGAATTTTTAATCGAAAATATCGGTCAATCTGTGAGATATATTATTGAAATTCGGGGAGAATCTGACGGTAAACCGTACAGGTTGGACAAAATGTGCCGTATTTTAACGGAATTAAATGGACATGCTTTCCAGAAAATTATGTGGTTTACCGCTGATTATGAGTGAAATTGGTCTAAACTTCATATCCCTAATATACAGAATTTCGATTCTCTGGATAACGTTTTTCACATGAACTCAATATATTAAATTTAACCTCTTCGGTTGGGTTTATATAATATTTATCTAATTTGAAGATTATTTTAATATAATTTCCTTACTTGAAGTAGAATATAGCAATAAAACTATGTTTGTCTATTGCCTATAATTTTCGTAGAATAATGAATGTTGAATTCTTCCGCAAAATGGATCAATATATAATTAACATATACCTATATTATTTCGCTGGATTTGACCCTTGCAAGTTGCAAAAACATAAAATGTTTGGTTACACCTTAATTTATCTTTTCCTTTCTTGTTTTTATTATTTTAAATACAAGTGTATGTGTATGGCCAATTTCAGTCTCTAGTGTGTACCAGTAGAACCACGTTTCATCGGCGGCCACGGAATGACACAGATGCCCTTTCGGCTTAAAATTAAACTGCGTCAAATACTGCTATGAAATGGTCGCACGGTTGCGTTTGTTATCCGGAGTGAACAGACGCTACACCCATCGCCCTGACAGCATTTTATAGCCGTACATTTTCACTCACGCGGTCTTTTGAAATTTTTGCTGTCTCAGTTGTCTGGCGCACTTACAATTGGCGGTCTGACAATACCAGATTATGAGCTTTTGTGATGTTATTCTTCGTTATTCCCGTTTTCGGAGCACCTACAAGTTGTATATACAACGATAGTAAAAATAATAAGAAAAATGGTTAACTTTGGCTGCTACGAAGCTTAAATACCCTTCACAAGTGTATTTCTTATACCAGCTACTTATATGTATAACATTCTCTGAAAACGTAACCGGGGTACGGTTTCTATCCAGCGGAAAAGATGTTGCTAGTTCTTTCTAGCCATGTTATTTGATACGAGTCTATACAAACTTCGCGTTACTTAAAAAGGAAAAATCATTTTTATGAAGATATTTATTATATGGATTTTGATCGGTAAGTTTGATTCGATCTGAACAATAATAACTACAACAACATTATTCTCAGAATAACAAAAAGTATTTCGAATGAGTAACGATTATCAAGTTAGTTTCTAGTGAGCCATCGTGAAACAGACAGTAACTACCTGGGATAAATGATTGTTGTTGTATTGTTCTTAAAAAATAATATGTTTGTTGTAAGCAATCCCAATGGAGCCACTTAATTTTATTGAGAGTCAAGTGAGGTATGGCGTTAGCACCTGTCGTCAAATTGTTAAATTTCGTGAAGATACTTTGTCAAATAATAAAGTTTTTCATACAAGGAATTAATTTTGATAAATAAGCTTCTATGACAGCTATATGCTACAGTGGCCTGATATCAGCGTTTCCGACAAATGAGAAGCTTCTTGGAGGGAAAGACATGTGTGTAAAACTTCATATCGATATCTCAAAATCTGAGGAACTAGTTCGCGTATATACAGATGAACAGTCACACGGCCTTGGCTAAATCGACTCAGCTCGTCACGCTGTTCATTTATTAGTATACATACTTTATGTTACAAACTTCGTGGCAAATTATATATACCATAATATACCCAATTCAGGGTATAAAATGTTGGCTCAAGAGGATTACCTATGTATATTTGTGCATTTGAACTTCTTTATTCTTTTGTTGTTCTGTTTAGCCACAATTATCTCATCTCTAGAAACTGTTGTTATAAAACATATCACTAACTGAAATTTAAAGCATTGTGGTTGAAATTTTCACAGACACATACAAATAAATCTTCGCTGTCGCAGTTGTCTTATAATCTTCATCATCATCACGTTATGTTTGTATAGTGATTATAGGTTTCTGTGTTTTGTGTTTCTCTCTATAGTAGACAAGTCCCAGCTGGAGCAGGTATGTTACACAATCACCGTTATTATACCCATGTGCGAATAAATCTATATATATTTATTTATTTAGAAAAGCATACGTATATTTTGCAACTGAGAAGTAAACACACGTAAGATTTTCTTGTTTTTTTTTTTTTGTATTGAGCTATGATGAAGGCCGCAAGCACTGCTACAGTTGAAGAAACTTTAGAAATAGCGAATAACAGACTAAAAATAATTGTTTTTTTTTTTTAAACTTTTCTGGGTATATTTAGTAATTAAAAACTTACAACTTAACCTTACTTAACCTAAAAAATTTTCATAAAATAGCGAAGAGGAAAAGGTCCCTCGGTTACTACTGATAAACTTAACATTAACCCGGATACCTTGAGCAATTAAATAGGTGTGTTAATGAAAAAAGTGCTATATATAGATATGGTAAGTAACATAATGTTACTCTGTACCAATAAAGGCTAATTTAGTCAATACCTACTACCTACCCTCAAGTAATAATTTATGAACATGAGTTTCTGCTTTCTTTTTATATTCAAGGAGTACTTATAAGAATTTACGCGCATATCTAGGGTTCAGTTCTGCCTAGAGATATGCTGTTTTAACTTGATTCCTTCCTGTTTGAAAAGAGGCATTTGCTATGCAAGGCTTTGGTGATATATTGATTGTGGTTTCATTATTGTCTAGGACTTCTGTAAAATATTGGTAAATATTTATTTGTTGACTTCACATGATTAATATACTCCCGACTAGTTTTGACTTGACATATTTAAGATCGCTTCGTTTACTTTTTTATCGCATTTACTATTACTTACTACTTTTGATATCGTAATACAAGTTTGAAATGGCGTTATATCGAGCAATTCTTACTGCTATTAGCGGCTGATATCTTTTCAACAAGCTTTATTATATAGCTTACAACAATAGTACGAGTTACATAATTGCCGGCAGGTAATTGTAGATGTGTTGAGCTTATATGAGAGTGTAATAGTTGTGAGCATTGATCTCTTACGTGAGTAGTTTTTGGTTACACTCACTGCGTGTTGATCGTAAATGGATTTCTCTGTTGACTTTATTAACAGTTAGTAAGCTTACAAAGCAAATTCAGCGAATGTGTACGTTAACTACTGTAAATAAAGCCAAGTTAACGGTAACAAAATTTTCATACTATTAGGCAGTAAGAAAGATACCATCATCGTTTAAATTTCATATTTGAACAAAACACTACGGTTAAGCTCTCTTAAGCACTGGTTAAAAATCGCAATAGAATATTCGGATGACGTCGATGATGATTACGAACACAATATTGGTTTGCGGTTAAACACAACGAGGAATTTTTAATTAAAAGTTCATTTAAGCTACTTAGACATAACGGAATTTAAAAATTACGTATTTTTAGTATTTAATTATGAATTTCTGCCAAAACTCTTCACAGAAAGGGTCATAACAAAATCTCGATTTCTTCATTGTCATGCCTCCGAAATATTTTCTTAGTATTTAATGACCCGGTTCTCTATGAACGGTTAGGTTAATTTTCAAAATCAATACTTTTAAGTACAAAAATTTATGAAAGGTGGACTAGTGGCCACTTAATTGCACTTGCTTGAAGTTCTGAATTGAAAAAATTTTAATTTGACAGTGCTTTATAAGAATTTATGCTCCTCTCCTGGTAGATTTAAGAGCTCTCAAAGCTACCACTAGGTCATTGAAGGCCAACAAAACGAGATTGCAGTGGGTGAGCGCGTTTGGTTTTCATACAAAACATATTTTTACTCGAAAGGTGGCACCATTGTCAAAATATGTGTTTCGCTTTCGGCTTAGTGAAATTCTACAAAAAGAATATATAATAAAATGGGATTATAATTAAAAGTGTGATTTGAGATGTCTTGAATGGATAGTTTTAAAAGATAAGTTGTCTGAAACATCTCAAGCTTCACGTGGCTTACCTTTTCTGCTTGCAATTTATAACGGTGTAGACTTTTAAGCTGCTCACTAAACTAGATTCCGCTTGTATTCGTTTTAACAAAAAGCTCACTTAAAACTAATTTCCAATCAGAGCAGATCAAAACAGAGCGCAGAACTCAGCATCAGAGCTCTTTATTTTTAGCGTCTAACCGTTGATCCATTACTTTTTAGGAGCATGCTTTTGTTAAAAGTTGACTTAGTTGCACATTGTTGATGTGCGCATGTGTATGTGTGTAAGCTTTGTGGGAGCGCTGAATTGCGCGGCCTCTTCATATTGGATCAGTTGGAGCTTAACAGCGTTGCCGAGCGGTTCGTTGCTGCGAATGTGCGGTTGCGCGTTGACGACAAATACAAAAGTAATTTTTTGTTGTTGCTGGTTTAATTTGTTAGTACACGGAGCCAAGAACCCACAAAATTTCGGGAAAAGTGACTAATTGTTGCTAATATATTTATAGCGACGAGCAACAAGTGGTTTTGTTACTACAACTTTGGTGCTGTGCGAATTTTATTTTTTTCGTTTTTTCATATTTGGATATAATATTGTGTGGTTGTGCAACTTGCGTGCGCGTTAAATAGTTTTTGTTGTTTTTACCGTAATCACAAAATTTAATTCTTACCGTTAAGATGTTCAATTACTTTGCATATTGAGACAAAGTTTTTGTTGTATACACGTGTTGTTGCTGTGTTAGTGCACTCAATCGTAAACGCATGCGTAACATTTTGGCTCGAAGCGTACAAACATTTGGCACAACCATAAACCACAAGCTTACCTCTGTGCCAGCAACAACAAGAACAACAACAGCACTTCTACGCCTGCTAGCCGTTCGGTGATATTGCAAGGTAATTGACCCAATTTGTGTTTGCCGGTGTTTTATGCTTTTAATCTGTGTTTACTTGCTTGGCTATGTACATATGTATGTTGTCAGCGATTGTGTTTCCAACTGTTCATGGACTGTCAGCATTACATGCAAACGTATTATGTTTTATGACTGTGTTTGTTGAATTTTGAAAGATTTTTATACGTAGCAGAAGATAAAAAACTACAAATAAAAAAAAAGTAAAAAAACCAAAACAAGTTTAAAGATTCTGCTTTGAAGATCTTAGCCTTTTCCTGTTGTTCATTACACAAAAATGAGTGATTACAGTAATACCTGTATTCAGTTATAGGTGTGATAACACTATTGTGTTCTAACAGTATTGTTGTTTATTAAAAGTCAAAGTTGTCAGTGAATTTGTGAATCCAGAAATATCGATTATCTCATTCGCTTCAAGTTCAGCGGTCATCAAAGTTAACTTAGTCTCTTTTTGACCTCGAGGTAAGTTTCCGCCAAAACGGCTACCGTGAGAGCGATCATATGTATGATTTATGATATACATAAATTAGCTATATTTGTATATAAGTTTAAGTATGGTTTTCTTCCGCAATGCCTTTTTCTTGTTATCCTGACAACAATATAGCATAGTGCAGTAATGAGGCCGGAAAATCTGAAAAATCTACCAATACGTGCCAACATATGCGATATTTTATTGCAAAAGAACTTTTTCTGTAGAACTATTCCGACTATACACGGTTGTTAAAGAAGTTTAAGTCAATGAATCGTTTTCAGCTAATTCTAGAAAAAACGATAATTTTTTATCCCAAAAATCAAAACGTTTTTCACATCAATATCCAAAGTTGACAGAAATATATATATATATAAAATTTTTGAAAAATTGAATGATTTTCAGCAAATGGTTCAAAAAAGCCTTACTTACCTCGAGAAGTAGTGTAGTACATATGGCCAAAGATATCCGCTTTTGCTGAATATGTAACTCTATGATGTAAAAATGATGTTTACTTTTGATTTTCGTTCAGGAAACACTTCAGAATTTCAGTAAAAAATTTTCACTTCTGCAATTACAAAACGTGCTAATTAAGTGTTGAGACAAATCAATAAAAATATGTACAATCATTGGTTAATAATAATTAAACCCTGAACTTGATATATTCCTTTGCCAGGAAGTTTGTACCACCTAGAAAAAGGCAGCGTGACAAGCTGAGTCCATTTAGCCATGGCCGTCTGTCTGCGTATACGCGAACTAGTCATTCAGTTTTGAAGATATTGATCTGAAAATTTGCGCACGTTGTTTTCTCTTCAAGAAGGTGCTCATTTGTCGAAGCCGTCGATATCGGACCATTATAGAAAAAAATAATATAATAAAACTACCATACCAACTGTTTTATTTGTGAATTGTATTCTTGCTTCAGTGAAACCAAAATAAACAGTTTTTCTTGTTTTTGTATATGGGTTCCAAGTCTCTCTTCCTGTTTCAAACTGCTTTGTTGTGAGTGACAGGACGTTGATGAGTGAACAGTTCTATATGGTGATATAATTGAACACGTAAAGATCGCCGCAATGAAATAATGGTTTTACACAGATAATGTATAGCTGAAACCATTCAGCACTGATATTGACATGCGGATCCATATTCATGAACCATTTGCATGTCAGGCTCATCATTGTGATTACAATTGATTCCATCTTCAGTTGAAAAAAAGTATGCACCAATAATGCCATCGTTGTGTGAACCACACAATAAAACTTCCCTTTTTTGCAGCGCACTGATCTTAGGAACAAATCAAATGAGGACTTTAAACTATGTACGAGTTAGATTTAGTACAGATGAAGTTGCTTTCCTCAGAGTAATGCTCGCCTTCACTGTGTTCAGATGGCCTTGGAATACGGTTTGTTCACTCTTGGTTTGATTCATTCTTGGCAAAGCCGGAATGAAATCCACCAGTTGCAAGAAAAATGTAAAAAATGTATAGTCTTGGATAGGCTTTAAATAATACTATGTACATGCACGAATATCATCAATATATATGAATATAGTAATTATCAATTATTTAGCTCACTTATATAGATTATTGGAATTATTCGAGTTTATTTTTCTGCATAACAACTTGCAACTGAAGTCAACTCTGCGGTTTCAAAATCCACCAATTTTAATCTTCAGCTAATGTATAGCTTTCTTTCTATAAAGAATGTAGTAATAAAATTAAGCTTGGTACAATATCATTCATTAGTTTACTTTCTACCTCAAAACATGATGTTAATTAATTAAAAATTATTTAATTTTGTTTAGTTATGGTAATGAATCACGAATGGCAAAAGCTGAGTTATTGATACTTTATTTATATACCTGAAAGTGTTTATTAAGCTAATTTTTATACTCTTGCAACATCTTGCTTTAGAGTATAATAGTTTTGTTCATTTAACGGTTGTTTGTATCAACTCAAACTAATCTAGTTAGATATAGGTTTACATATGGAGTACGAGTACATAAATGAGCAGGAAAAAGAGACGTGTTGAAATCAGAGTGACTGTTTGTCCGTCTGTGCAAGCGAGAATTAAAATTGAGATATCTTGATGAAACAACAAGGTACACAAATTTTTTGGAACCATAGAAAGGCATAATCGAATCACTGCCACGCCGACAAAACACAATTAATCGAAAACCAATAAATAGCCATAACTAAGCTCCACAATATGATACAAGAGTGTTAGTTAGTTAGTATAACGAATCGCATTAGGGAGGGACATATAAAGTTTAATTCTTTTTTTTAAGTGGGCGTGGCCCGCTCTCTAATAGTTTTAATGTGTATACGTATCTACTAAACCACTAAAGCTTTAATAACCAAACTTACTCAGTACACATATTTTTAGCACCCTTACCGACAGTGTGAAAATGGGTGAAATAGGGGGATAACCCCGCCAAGTCTCCATATAACGGTTGTAGTAAAAACTACTAAAAGTGCGGAAACTTATTTAATAAACAAGTCGGATACTTTTAATTTAACACATAGGATTTTATAATTAAGCTTTATAGGAGCCAATATAAAAATTGGACAATGATCGCGGCACCGCCCAACTTTGGGTGAAATCTCCGGATTTATTTGACTGATTTCAGCTAAATTTTGTTAGCAACATTATCCTGGCATGCCTATGTTACAGTGTAAAAATGCATATAACACAAATTTAAATTCCATCTGATTTTTTAATATACAAATAAAGCACTAATGAATATATTAAAATAAAACTTTGTTAAAGAGTGCCTTAAAGATACGCCATCTCAAATCTAAAAATTGTCAAAATCGGGCCATAACTGTTCAAGCACCAATAAACCGAAGATGTAGACCCTAGTGGCCATTATTGACTTTTTACCGAAATTATCGTTCGTTATATGAGATGTATAATTGAAATCGGGTCAATACTTCTCTTAGCCCCCATATATCTAATAGAAAGATTTCCAAACTTCTGGTTGACTTTATACCACATTTATCGGCCAATATGTGAGTTATCTTAATAAAACTATAGAGGCGTGTTTTTCTGATAACGGTGCATCTGTGTGCCAAAAATGGATAAACTCGGGTGAGAACTTGCCCTAGCTCCGATGTAACTAATATCAGGATTTCCAAACATCCGGTTGCCTTTACTCCTTATATATTGGTGATGAAGCATTTTCAAAATGTGTGATATTTTAATGAAATTAAGTGAACATGTTTTCTTAAAAATTACGAATTATATTAACGATTCAGCGCTGAATATGTAAGGATTTGGTGTAAACCTTGTTATAAACCTCATATTCCTAATATAATGAGTTCCCATCCTCTGGTGGACGTTTCCCACATCATCTCATAATATTTAATTTAGCCTCTCCGGTTGAATTTATATCACATACTTACAAGTATAACACATAGAATTTTAGCTGACGCGAAGTAAAATATAACAATAAGACTAAGTAACTCTAAGACCCATAATATAACTTAATAAAAACCAATTTTTTAATTCTTTCGCAACATTTTTAAAATAAAGTTTTTCCAAAAGTGTTTAGCCGACGTTGATTGTTGCTAGTTGCAATAGTATATAATGTTCGGTTACACCCGAACTTAGCCCTTTCTTACTTGTAAAACAAACATTTAATATTAATTTTAACGAGACGCTAGCAATTATTTGCGGTTTATAGGTGTAGGATATGCACGAACATTTGATGTATAATGATTAGTATGAATGTAATATGTATGTGTACGTGTTTATTAACTATTTAAAAATTTTGGTCTTAGCCTCAATACCGCTTGCTGATGAAAATGTTAACGCAATTACTGTGCAATTTTTTTAATACCTTTGCAAATAACAATAATGTCTCGTTATTACCGTACTTTACTCTTCACCGTAACCTTTACACCTCAACACTTTTTAGATTTTTATACACACATATATAATATATACATGCATATGTATGTACATATGTGCTCGAAAAATTTTAGTCATAAACAGACGCCTCAATCTTCGTTGTTCTTTTTTGAAGCTTCAAGCTGTTAAGATAACATACAAATTTTGGTAAAAACAAGATAAAGTGAATTAAATACTATTTTTGTAGTAGTTTTGTCGTACCTTGGCCGTTGAAAAGTAAGCTAATCGCTGCTGCGGGCCGAAATCTGTTTTTGCTTTTGTCTTTCGAGTTTTATATGTGTACGTAAACATCCAGAAAATGTGCACAAAAGTGACAATGAAAAGTATGTAAATATGTAAAAGTACATAGCTTAATAGCCAAGAGTCTGCAAATGAATACGTTCGTTATATTATTATATAAGTATATACACAGTTATGCTCACAATAATTGCAGTGCCCATTTAATGATGATAAAAATTAATAATTTTTCATAAATAAGTTCAATCCGAATTTAAACCAACTTGTTTTCGGATAATTTAGAAAAACGATGGAACACAAACAATTTTTTTGGTTAATTGAAAGAGTATTGTAAATAAGAAAACACAATAATATTTTCTTAGTTATATTATATATCGAACTTTATTAAATATTAGCTTTCGAAATTTTATTGCGCCTTCTTTGTTTTTTATGGCAACCTTAATATGCTTTCGTCTAGAATCTATTAAATGTTGGATTGTGCAAAGAATCATTGTACCACATACATATTTTCCACAATTGAGTCTTTATAAAATTTTATATTTCATCTCGTTATTTTAACTTAGAAAATATACGAAAAGTTCCTGATTGGTCCAATCGAGTTACTCCCACTTTATCCTAATATTTTATTACCTATGTATATTAAAACATAGCCCATTTTATTATTTCGTTATATTTTAATATATTTATATGGCCTTAAATATTCTTATCTAATATAAGCCGTCCGCCATTTTGAGGATAAGAGGGTATTGCTGGGAACATTTCAAACTAAAAACTTTCATCTTAAATTCGTCCATCCATGAAATATTTCATTATTATTCGCAAACCACAATCTGTTTTTATGCCCT